GCAGTAAAGAGATCTGTTTATTTTTGTTTAACTCACTGTTTCTCAAGATTAGTGCATCCAGAGTTTCCCTTTTATTTATTTTATTTTATTTTATTTTATTTTTTTTCTGGTACGGAGTCTTGCTCTGTTGCCCAGACTGGAGTGCAGTGGCTCAATCTCGGCTCACTGCAACCTCTGCCTCCCAGGCTCAGGCAATTCTCCTGCCTCAGCCTCCCGAGTAGCTGGGATTACATGTGCACATCATCACGCCCAGCTAATTTTTTTGTATTTTTAGTAGAGATGGGGTGTCACCATGTTGGCCAGGCTGGTCTCAAACTCCTAACCTCAGGTGATCCGCCTGCCTTGGCCTCCCGAAATGCTGGGATTACAGGTGTGAGCCACTGTGCTTAGCCTTCCCTTTTATTTAATATGATTCTCAACATCTCACCCAATTAATTTCAGATAACTGTACTTTGAGCTACTTGGAGCTTCATTCATTTCATCTTAGAGCAAGGGCCAATGGGAGGATGTTGTAGGAAGACATTGTTCCTCATATTTAGCTGAAAGTAAAGAACTGGGGCTTCTTAAAGGTAGGGTGTGCTTCCTGGGAAGGTGGTGAGGCTCTCGACCAACTCAATTATCTGTGAGGGATGCTATGCCTCAGTTTCAAGGAGGGGCTGCATTGTGCAGATGCTGCTATTTTAAAACTTTTGATTAAATATACAAAATAACGCCTCCATTCTGCTGGCTTGCACATAAGACACGCAGGTATAGAGGCCGCTTGTCCCCGTTTACCCCAGAGGTCTCCGGTTTTAATTTGGAATGTCCTACTTCTGAAGAACCCCTCCGTCCAGAGCAAACTGGGGTGGTTGATTCCAGTCAACACCCCAACATTACAAGGAAAACAAAAAATGCTTTTCATTATGCACGTACTTCCAGCCGTTCTGAAATGGTTTCATGGGGAAGGCCATATTTTGCCTACGTAAAAGGCAGTTCTTGTACATTGCAGTTCTGTTGGGGAATTATTATTTGGGAGATATAAATTTTCTGGAGCTTCCTTTATTAAATACCTTGTTCTTCAGTCTCCTGTTTCTGCCTACTTTATATTTCTCTATCAGAAAATAAATTTGTTACATCAAGCAGTTACAGATTCCTTTCCTTTTCTCTGAGCTGTATTATTTTTCTTGTGTGGTGGTGAGACAAAATACTGTTCTGTAGTTCCATTAATGAGTGATCTCATGAAGTTAATACTGTTAACTTTGAGGGAGCATTATATCAATGTCTCTGTTGCTTTTGAGCCATGTGTTGTGGCTGAAATACATTTACATGTAAAATGGTAGGGGAATAATATTACATTTGTTTCTGATGAATTCTGCAACCTCAGGCGTGTTATTTCTGCAAAGGATAGAAAATACCAAATTTCATCATTATTGCAATATTGTGTGTTGCCAAGTTCTGCCACTAGGGAGCAGTATCATCTATCAACTCACTGGCTCTGCGCTTTGTATAGTCTGGATGAATGGGATGTTCGTCACCAAACCAGAGGGAGAGTTTGCAGAATGCATTTTATACACTAGCAAACACAGAAAACCCTGGCAACATTACCATAGTGGAATAAACCTTGGCTCTGGTCTTGTGACTACTTGCTGATGGCCTTGAGCAAGCCACTTCCCTTGCTAAGCTTCCTTATGTAAAATGAGGGAATTGACCTAGATTAAACTCATTTCTGATTCTAATTTCTTCAGCATCTAAACTTGTCTAAAAGCAAACTAGTATAAAGGCCTTTTGATGGCATTTTGTGGAATTCTACTTTGCTTCTTTCAATCAGTTTGTGTTTCTGGATATACAGGTTCACTAGCCTATGCATAATTCTCTCTCTCTCTTTTTTTTTTTCTTTTCTTGGAGGCGTATTGTATTTCTTTATAAATTCATTCTTGTATATGTATGCTTGTCACCTCAAAGGAAATTGGCTTAGAGTTTGTGCTTGCTTCACATCTACAGCAAAGAGAAAATGCAATTTAGCTTCCTTTATTCTCAGCTTTGGTTTCTCTAGAAAAATAAGCCACACTGTATTTGAAAATTATAGCTATCCCTATCTGAAACTAAGATGATTTCTTCTAGATCTATGGTTAATGCTAGTGGTTTGTCACACACAACTTGTATTCTAAAAACTTTGCCTCCAAATAAACTTTTACCTATTTTTAGGAATGAAAAACAAAAAGTCAAGCTTTAGGGAAGATAAGTTCTTGAAATCTGACAGTTTACAGATAATGTCAGAATATGATTGCAAGAAAAATGACATAAAATGTACATTAACATAAATCTATAACTGCTCAACTTGATGAAAAATATCACCATAAAATTCTGCCATTACTGAATCAACCGATATGTTTTTTTATGACATTTTTGTGAGAGTGAATAAATTATCTGAGAATGTGTTTGCGTCAAAAATACAGAATTTTGTAATAAACACATAAATCATCCAAGCATTTTTCAGCAAGATGCCTGATCCAAAAATGGGAGGGCATTCATATTAATTTCCCCCCTTCCAGCCTCGTTCTAGATATGGTACCTTAGAGCTCTGGATGGTAATGGGGAACCATCAGTGATGGAAATGTAGGCGAGGATGCTGTACATAAAATAACTCTTCTTGAAGAAGTCTTCTATACAACCTGCCCCACCTGCAAAAGCCTCAACCTCTATGAGCCTTGCTTTCACTGAAGTCTGCTTTACAAAATGCTCATATTTTTGTAGTCATGGGACCCAACATTCGCTATAAAACAGAGCACTAACTCAATCCTGAAAGATACGTTTTTCTTGCTCTCTCTGAGGAACTGGTTTGTTTCTTGTAATGGGAAATTTGTATCACATAAGGAAGCTTGATTCCCTTTTTGCTTAGACTATCAGGTAGCTCAGAGGCAAATTAACTGTTTAATTACAGTAGAATTTAGTGATGTGTGCCTGAGGATCTTACATTTTATCGTTATTTTAATTATGTCATCTACGTAGATTTTCTTCTATTTTATTGTTCAAGCTTTTATTAACTAATATCTTTGTGAACTGAGGCATAGGGTAGATAAACATACAGATAGAGAGGTAAATAGACATATTGATATGTGGAATAATGGTCGAAGAAATTTCTGCAGTCAAAGCAGTGAGGGTGGATGGCCATAGTGAACTGTGAATAAGATGGCAATTATAAAGTTCCTTTCTCATCTGATTTCTCTCCAGGACTCATTTCTTCATGAATGCCTACAAAGCATATTTTTATGACTGAGGTCATTTTTGCAACAGTTGATTGTGGTCTGGTCTGTGATCCCTCTATTCTTCCCATCCCTTTCTCTGTTAAGAGGAGTGAAAATACTTTCTTTACATAATTCACCAGGTGTTGTTCTTTAATGCCCTGGTTAAAGAAAAGGAGAAGGGGCGGGGTGCGGTGGCTCACGCCTGTAATCCCAGCATTTTGGGAGGCCGAGGCGGGCGGATCACGAGGTCAGGTGATCCAGACCATCCTGGCTAACACGATGAAACCCCGTCCCTACTAAAAATCCAAAAAAAAAATTAGCCGGGCCTGGTGGCGGGCGCCTGTAGTCCCAGCTACTCCGGAGGCTGAGGCAGGAGAATGGCGTAAACCCGGGGGGCGGAGCTTGCAGTGAGCCGAGATTGCGCCACTGCACTCCAGTCTGGGCGGCAGAGCGAGACTCCGTCTCAAAATAAATAAATATATAAATAAATAAATAAATAAAAGGAGAACTCAGGTTAGGGGTCTTACTTAAGGTCACACAGCCTGGGAGTGTGCCTTAGGTTTTGGCTACTCTCCGTCCCCTTTACACTGCGCTGGCACTTCCTGCTATGAGTGTCTTCCATTTGCCCTCCAGAACCTCCCTCCAGCTTCACCTTCCTCTACACTGCTCTCCGCCTGGTGACACTGACCAGTAGGGACACACAGGTCCCTGTCCTCTCGCTTCTAGTTAGGTTTAGCCATTGGGAAGCCCCAGCAGGAGGTCACAGAGAGGTTGGAGAGAGAGGTGGGGGGTTTACTCCCTTGGCCCCCTCCCCAAGAAGTCTGCCTGGGCTGGTGGTGTCCCAGGACCAGTGGTCACTGCTCCCCTGCAGGCGGTGGGCTCCTTGTAGTTTTCAGTCACTGTTCCCTCAGCCCTCTTCACCTAGGGGTGGGGCTAGCCCCGCTGCTGTCAGCCATGGTTCTTGCATTGTTCTTTATTCTTCCCCCTATACCACACTCACCTGGTAAGTAGTTTCTTTGCCATACATTTCCTTCAATGATCCTAATTTGAGTATGCTGTCTATTGCCTATTGGGACCCTAACTGGTACACTTTCCCATTAAAGAAAAGATGGCACTAATAATACGTTGTAGACGATACCATTAGACACATGAAAGGTGAATTTGATATGTTTCAGTTATCGGGCAAAGTGAATCTTGGCATTGTCATCTTTTCCAATCAAGCATCATAAAAGGAGATAGGGGCACAGGGGAAAATGATGAGAGAAGCTATAATGGATACAATACCATTAAATGTCTGGCTTATCTTCCATTTATGCTTCTAGCACTGCTGAAATTGATTATTTGCTTTCAGGCTCGTACCTGTATTTTTGTCTTCAAATTGAGTTGTTTTGCCTCAGGCCTTAAAATCTGTTTTCATATTAATTAGTCAATGTTTTAAAATTAGATTTCTATCTTGTGACTTTTCTGAGGGTATGCTTGGAGAGATAACATGATTATATATTTAATGCAATCCATATGTTTCAAAACAATTCATTTCCAAAATTGCACAACAAAGAATGTGAATTTTTACAATCAATTTCTTCATCAAGAAGGTAAGGCAATAAAAAGACATAAAGTGTGTGAGACTCTACTAAAATTAGTAGTTATTTCCTGAAGTGTAATTCAATAGATCGCCTTGTGTAAGGTCACCCATGACCACGAACAGCAATGCAAGACGATCTTAGAAGCAAAAAGTTTCCATACTTACATTTTACACTTTGAGTGACATGACCTTACCTTTAATGTTTTGGCTTCTGATGTCCTTGGAAATGGGCTTGTCCACCTGTAGAAGACAATGTGGCACCATTATCTCTTCAGTTGTGACTATGACCCCATCTGATGTCTTGACACTGTGGTTAGGTTCCCAAGGATAAAGCCATAAGTCCCCGGGCTCTCTGGTTTTCAATGTATGGTTGACTGTCAGCAAACACATATAAATACATGCACCTCTGCCAATGAAGGGTGCGGTGGCCTGAGTGGTGTTTGGTATAACAACACGCAGGGTTGAGAACCAATCCTGCCTCTATTGCTGGCTTTAGAAAAGACATTGAGTATATTATGAACTTCAGATTTTTCATCTTTATCATAGGAAAAATGCTCATCATTCATGTCCCTGAGTTAACATGATGATCCATCTATGGGATCAGGTACATGAAAGCAATGAAGCAGGCAGGTCAGGGTATGGCCTCGTGGGAAGGCCCGGGTTAGGATTCCACCTCCAGCTCGCGCTCACTGTGAGAACATGGAAAATTACTTAGCTTCCGTTTCCTGAGGTTCAGTTTCCTCATCTGTGAAATGGCGGTAACAAAGGCACTGATACCCTTTTGAGGATGGGAGGATAACACAGAACACAGCATGCACTGTGCCAAGAACACAGGTGTCGCTAACCACACTGAATACATGTATCACTATTAATATTATTAAAGACATTAGTGAACTATTAAGGGGTACCCAACTGGAAGACATAAGGGTGAACAAGATGAAGATCATAAAGGGTTCCCTATGTCTTTGAAAACCTTTAAGCCTAGGTAATATTAATATTAGGGTATTAGTATTAGTCTTTTTTTTTTTTTTTAAGACGGAGTCTCGCTCTGTCGCCCAGGCTGGAGTGCAGTGGTGCGATCTCAGCTCACTGCAAGCTCCGCCTCCTGGGTTCAGGCCATTCTCCCACCTCAGCCTTCCAAGCAGCTGGGATTACAGGCGCCCACCACACGCCCGGCTAGTTTTTTGTATTTTTAGTAGAGAAGGGGTTTCACCGTGTTAGCCAGGATGGTCTTGATCTCCTGACCTCATGATCCGCCTGCCTTGGCCTCCCAAAGTGCTGGGATTACAGGCGTGAGCCACCGTGCCTGGCTAGTATTAGTCTTTATTGGCACCAGGTTGAGTTGGGCAAGGTGGGTCAGGGGTTCGTTGAATCCCCCGTTACCTCTTATCCTCTGTGGAACATTGAACCACAGTATTTATGCCTGGAAGGGTCATGGCCCTTCTTCTTTTGGTTATATCTAGTTAGGGGTTGACTGTTGGTTGGATTTTTTTTTTTTTTTCTTTATCATGGCTATTGTCTTCTTCATTGCATCATCAGCTTCCAATTTCTCTAGGGTTACCTTGTGGGGACTGGGGTGCTGGATTTTTTTTTCAATGTTCTTGTGCACCTTGATCTTTTAGTCTTCCCTGTGTGCCTGCCCCACAGATGGAGTTTCTCTCAATGCTCATGCCCCACCCTGCATTGCTAGCCTGGTCATGGAGGCAGGAGAGGTTCCCGTTGTCTCCACCCTAGGTGGGATTTGCTACCTTAGGTGAGATTGCTCTGAGCAGTCCCAAGAAGCAGTATTAGTACAGGATTCCCTGGCCCAGGAATATTTCCTATCCCTCCCCTGGGGCAATTCCCAATTTCTATCAAATAAATATTTACTAGTACCCACTAATATGTCTGTGGCAATGCTACATTATGAGGGAACACAGAGAAATACCATCTTGGATTCACAGGTACATTGTAACAGATTTTTCAGTTTGGGTACTATTGAGAATTGAGATTTGGGGTCAGAAAATTCTTGTGCCTTGTAGGATGCTTAGTAACGTCTCTGTCTTCTACCCACTAGATGTCAGTAGCACTCAGTCGTGACAACCAAAAATGTCACCAGGCTTTGTCAAAAGTCCCTTGTTGGGGGGGCAAAAACTTTCCACGGAGAACCACTTATCATAATGCAACATGTACCAGGTGTGGAAGACTGCATCATATGGCTTCCTTCGTAAGACTCCTCCAAAGGCACTGGCTACGTTCAGAGATGCAGGTCTGTGTGCGTTTTCACCCTGTGCTTACCTCCATCTGACCACTTCCTAGAACATGGAAACTGCCTATCTGTGTCACTGCCTCCTTCCTTAGACTGTGGGCACTGGCTCACCATCCTACCCCCATTGCTAAGCACAGTGCTCGGTACACAGTACCTGCTCAATAAATAGAAGGATGGGTAGTGGTTTAGGGCAAGACAGTTGTAGCCCACCGAAGCGGTCTCGACAAGAACTTGCCTTTGTAGAAATTATTGAAGATCCATTTCTTTTTTTCTTTCTATTTTTTTTTTCCTTTGAGACAGGGTCTCACTCTGTGGCTCAGGCTGGAGTTCACTCTGTCACCCAGGCTGGAGTGCAGTGGCACAATTTCAGCTCACCACAGCCTTGACCTCCCGGGCTCAAGCAATCCTCCCACTTTAGCCTCCCAAGTAGCTGGGACTACAGGCATGCATCACCATGCCCAGCTAATTTTTGTACTTTTTGTAGAGATGGGGTTTCACCATGTTATCTAGGCTGGTCTTAAACTCCTGGGCTCAAGCAATCCACCTGCCTCGGCCTCCCAAAACATGGCGACTACAAGTGTGAGCCATCACACCTGGCTGAAGATCCATTTCACAGATAATCTCAACATAAATGTGCAGAACTAGTAAGAGTCAACTCCTAGGAATGAGATTGTCACAAAAAAAGATAATCTGATTGCCATAAATATTTGATGTTTACAACATTGATTACAAAAGCAACACTCCTCCCCACCCCCGCCCCTTTTTTTTTCTGAGACAAGGTCTTGTTCTGTCACCCAGGCTAGAGTGAAGTGGCACAATCATGGCTCACTGCAGCCTCGATCTCCCAGGCTCAGGCGATCCTCCCATCTCAGCCCCCAGAGTAGCTGGGACTACAGGCGTGTGCCACCATGCCCAGCTATTTTTTATTTTTCATATTTTTTTAGAGATGAGATGTTACTCTGTTACTCAGGCTGCTATTGAGCTCTGGGGTCAAGGAATTCACCCACCTCAGCTTCCCAAAATGTTGGGATTACGGGCATCACCTACTGCACTTGGCTAAAACGCCCTCTTTATCTGAACTGAGGCCAAACACTTGTTGAATTTGTGAGACAACTCCCCTCTGAACTTTTGCTCACCCTGCCCTATCCTTTTTCCTCACATGGTTTCATTTGAATTAATGTGCTGAGATTGTAGTTCCACCTGCAAAGTGATCTAGCCAAAGGAAGAAACTTGTTTTTAACAGGAAGCTACAAAGATGACCTGAAGGAATAGAAAGTGTAAGAATAAAGGCTTAAATCCTGGCATAGTTGTTTTTAGAAAAAATCAAATGAGAATTATTCTTTGTAAAAAAAAATTCTATTCATGAAACCTTACCTGTATAAAAAGGGATTGTCAGTCGTTTACAGGGAAAGTTCAGCTCAACTTTTTAGTTCAGCGTTCTCTACTTTATAACCAGACCAGAACTGTGTCTTTAGCCACTGGTCCAATCTCTCTGGAATTCTCGTTCCCTGGCCACGCTTTATGCTCTGGTGATGAGTGTCCTGAAATGCTGTCCTCCCTCTCAGACAGCCCCTGGGGGACTGCCCTAGATGCAGATCTTGATGATAGCAGCAAATAGTAGCAGGAAAATAGGAGAACTTTGAAGGTCAGACTGAGAAAGTCTTCTCTGTGAACAGAAGTTGAACTGGGGAAAGACTGGGTCTCTTTTCCTACTAAACAGGTATTTATTTTTAAAGCTTGAGTTCAAATGATTGAAAGTATGTTATTTTTCATTCATTTAACCAGCATCTATTGAGAGCCTCTTACAAAGGCACCATGTTAGGTGTGGGGGCTGAAACAGCACCTGACCTCATAGAGATGTCCTCTACGGACAGATTGCTTTATGCTTCGGGCTGGAAGCACAAAGATGCATTTCTTGGATCTTATTGAAGATCCATTTCTTTTCTTTTTTTCTTTCTTTTTTTATTTTTTGAGACAGGGTCTCGCTCTGTTGCCCAGGCTGAAGTTCAGTGTTGCTATCTCAGCTCACTGCAGCCTTGACCTCCCAGGCTCAAATGATCTTCCCACCTCAGCCTATGTGCTGAAAGCACATGGAAATACTGTGTTTTCTATGTATTACTACAACAGCGATGGGATTTTATAGGTAAGACCATGAAGGCTCAGAGAGGGTGAATAACAGGCCCAAAGGCACAGAGCTTATAAAATTGGAGCTGTTAAAATGGGAGTAATATTCATCTTTCAAGTTTTTTTTTTTTTGTTTTTGTTTTTGAGATGGAGTCTCGCACAGTTGCCAGACTGGAGTGCAGTGGCATGATCTCAGTTCACTGCAACCTCTGCCTCCCAGGTTCAAGTGATTCTCTTGCCTCAGCCTCCAGAGTAGCAGGGATTACAGGCGCCCGCCACCACACCTGGCTAATTTTTGTATTTTTAGTAGAGACGGGATTTCACCATGTTGGTCAGGCTGGTCTCGAACTCCTGACCTTGTGATCCTCCCACGCTGGCCTCCCAAAATGCTAGGATTATAGGAGTGAGCCACCACCCTGCCGCAAGATTGTTTTAAGGATTAAATTTCATTTGATTCTTTTAATCCAATCTCTACTGAGAATTTTTTTCCTTGATCTTCCTTGTCCTGCATTATCATGATTTTTTGAAGCACGCTTCCTTATCTACTGTCTATCTATTGTGTGTTTATTTATGACTGGTCTCCTACCACTAGCATGTATGTTTCACGAGCACAGGGAATTGGCCATTCATGGGTGTGTCTTTAGAGTCTATAATTGTGTCTGATCCTAGCAGGCACTGATGACAGTTCTTGAATGAATTTGTTGAGTGAATGATTGAAGTGTTTAGCTTCAATCATTGCTGTGCCCGTGTAAAAAGGAAGTGTTTGATTTTTCATCACTCATCTTGTTCCTTCAGTCTCTATCAGATATCTGCTGTGTAAATGGTCAGTGTTGCTTGGTAAAATTTGTAGTTTCATTTTTCTGTCCAAATTAACAGAAGCCCTCAAGTTAAACAGACGATGTGAATACGTAATATGTGAGGAATATTCAAAAGCACGTTAATACTCATTAATAACTGTGGTGCAAACTAAAAAAGAATAGTGAAATCCCTTTTTAAAAAATGCTACTGAAAAAATAATAGCCCGTTTTGGTGATATTTCTAAGGGGTGGACCTTCCTAAACAGAGTTTCTGGGAGGGTAAATGGAAACAATTTTTTAGAAAGGAAATTTTACAGTACATACTAAAAGCCTTTAAAATGTCTTCACTCAATGGTTTAGTAAAATAATTGAAAATCCCGTAACGGGTTATGCTTTGTCTATAAAAATTATGCCTGTGAATGCTTGTTTATCACATGGGAAATTGTTTTATAACAGAACTTAATGTGAGAAGAAAAATAAAGCAAGTATATACTGAACAATGAGACTTCCCTTGTATGACAGATACGTGCATAGAAAATACTGACAATGGCCGGGTGCGGTGGCTCACGCCCATAATCCCAGCACTTTGGGAGGCCAAGGCAGGTGCATCACGAGGTCAGGATTTCGAGACCAGCCTGACCAACATGGTGAAATCCCATCTCTAACAAAAATACAAAAATTAGCCCGGTGTAGTGACGTGCACCTGTAATCCCAGCTACTCAGGAGGCTGAAGCAGAAGAATTGCTTGAACCTGGGAGGCAGAAGTTGCAGTGAGCCGAGATTGAGCCACTGCACTCCAGCCTGGTTGACAGAGCGAAACTCTGTTTAAAAAAAAAAAAACAAAAAAAACTGATAATGAAGTGTACCAAAATGTTATGACTGATAATTGCAATCCCAGGGGGTGATCATTTGTATTTTATGCCTTTCTGGATTAAGAAAATTAAGTGTTAGCAAATGTTTTATGAAAAATAAAATTCTATGTATGCATTTAGGGCATTTGCATTTACTAGTTTTTTTCTTTTCTTTTCTTTCTTTTTTTTTTTTTTTTTTTTTTTTTTAGACAGAGTCTCACTCTGGCACCCAAGCTGGAGTGCAGTGGTACAAAATTATCTTTTGTAGCTTCCAAACAGCATTTTGAAATAAGCATTGTAGGATTTTCTGTTTTTTCCTGTTTGGCAGATAAAGTTACAAGGAGGCTTAGAGAGGTTTCATGACTTACTTATTACCTCCCCACTCATGACTTAACTTATTACCTCAACCACGTTAGGCTGAGACGCTGGGCAAAATCTTACATTATGATCAGAAAGATTTGAGTTCATGTTTTTTCTCTGGAGAGTGCGATGAGCGTTAGATGAGATGCATGTGGAAGTCCTTAGCCTGCTCTCTGGCTCACAATCTTCAACATATCTGAATTCTCCTCCTTTCTAGAGGCAGGACCATGATGCTACCAGGTATAAGAGTCACCTCCCATCCACCTCAATGAGCTCGACCTGCTCTTTCCCTAATGAGATGGCCTGGGGGACAGGAGATGTGGCAGTTTCTGGCTGGTTAGGAAGAGCCCTACACATGTTTGGGTCACAAGGTCCAGCCTTTACTCACTCTTTCCAACCTCGTCTGTGTGTTCCAGGTCTGCTGTCCAATAGGGATAGAGGTCCTGGTGTCTAACGGAAGGGGAGTGTCCATTGCAACCTTCAAATAGCGTGTATCTGTGCAACCAGAAAAATATGAAAGTCATACCTTATGTGGACTCAGCACACTACAATTTACAAAGTATTTGCATATCTACAAACTCACTGGATCATTACAATGTAAGTACAAGGCAAGCAATTCTGCTTTCATTTAACAGAGTAGGAGACTGATGTATGAAGAGAAGAAATTGCTCTTCTCAGTGCACACAAATAAATGCCAAAGTCTGAACTTGAACGTTCTTCATTTTCTCATTCATCTTAGAAATTCTATAATTCTTGCAAGATTTGGGCTATGCCATGCCCTTTAAAAATCTTACCAGATCCCACCCAGCCACACCCCATGCCAGCTCTCCTTTCTATATTACACACTTAACATATTCTATCACATTCATCGGTTGAGCTGCCTGTTTCTGCCATGAGACTGCACCTTCCTGAGGTAAGGATCATGCATTGTTTGTCTCTGTGTCCTCTGATCAATCCTAACATGGAAACTGGCACATAGTAGATGCTCAGTGAATGCTTATCGAATGACTGAACAAAAAAAGTCATCATCATCTACAAGATGACTTTCTCCAAATACACTTCTATGGATTCATTTTAGTGGTTCAGGCTGTCAGAAATCGTGAATGCTTCCTCTTCCCCCTTACAATGGGGTGCTTTATCTCAAGGAACTTGCTGAAGCTGCCCGTTGTGCTACAGTTAGAGACAGAGGCGGGTGTGAAATTAGGTCCTCTTTATTCTTAACAATTGCAGCTTTGCTGCCATGCCCTGCTGATGCTCTTAGGCTGGCTGGCTGGCTGCACAATGAATTAACCAAGTTAAAAAGTCTTTTTTTTTTTCATTCTACTCCCCTCTATGCAGACCTCATTTAACATTTCCCATGCTGCCGCATCCCTGCCTATCTACCCTCCGTTATGCTCATCAGTTGTTCCTAGGGCTCACGGAGAACATCATGATAATAATGGTGAGGATTACAGATCTCTGGCTTGGTACCAGGTCCTCTGGTGAGAACTCAACATGCCTCATTCATGTAATCTTCAAAAGAGCTCTCTGGGGCAACTTCTATTATTATGAACCCTGTTTTCAGAAAGAGAAAGTGAATTGGAGAGACTTTCTCAAGGTCACACAGCTAGTAAGTCATGCGGGCAGATGTTAACCTAGGGTTGTTTAATTCAGAAACCGCACCTTTAAATAGTGTGCAATATGGCGGCGTGTATATGCATCTTCTTGTTCTAGGCAGACCCCTAAACGTTACCTGCATATTCAGATTCCTTTATAGGCCGGGCTGGTAAAATTTTAATTGACTGCCGCGTCTCTTCCATCCGAAGCTCAGGGTCATCATAGTCATCATCTTTGTGGCCTTTTGCTCCATCCAGGACTGCAGCAAAGTTTCTTTCCTAAGCAGGTGGTAACATTCCAGTGATTCGAAGGAAGATACAATGTTGACAAAGACAGGCTACAGTGCTGGCTAGAGAAGTGGGATGGACTTTCTTAGCTGCAAGTAAAATATTTAAGAGTCTAGGTTCTGGGATCTTAAATAGAAGTTTAATTCTTGCGCTAGTGAGAATTCTAAAGATATCTCCCAATATTCCCATCTCTGATTACTCAATCAACACTAATCTAGGTGCTGCTGTGAAGGGACAGTGCAGATGTAATGAAGGTCACTAATTGGCTGACCTTAAAATGGGCGGATTATCCTGGATTACCTGGGTGGGCCCAGTGTAATCACATGAACCCTTAGAAGCAGAAAGAGGACCTATTTGCAAATAAGATAATCTTGTATTTAAATAATTCGCTAAAAAAATTATTAGAACTAATAAACGATTCCTCAAGGTGTCAGGATACATGATTAATATACCAAATTCAATTGTATTTCTATATGCTAGTAATGACAATTTATATTTCTATAAATTAGTAATAAACTGAAAATAGAAATTAAGAAAATGGGCTAGGTGCAGTGGCTCATGCTTGTAATCCCACCGCTTTGGGAGGCTGAGGTAGGAGGATTGCTTGAGGCTAGGAGTTTGAGAACAGCCTGGGCAACAGAGTGAGACCTCGTCTGTACGAAAATGTTTTTAAAAAGGAAACAATTATATTAGCATAGCATCAAGGAGAATAAAATATATGGAAATAAATTTAACAAAAGAAGTGCAAAACTTGTACTCTGGAAACTGCAAAACACTGTTGATAGTAATTTCAGAAGACCTAGATAAATGGAAAGATGACCAATGATCATGGATTGGAAGACTTAATCTTGTTAAAATAGAAATACTTTGCAAATTAATATACTGATTTATTTTGCAGAAATTGACAAGATAATCCTAAAATTCTTATGAAAATAAGAAGAACCAATAATAGCCAAAACAATCTTGGGTTTAAAAAAAAAAAAAAGATAAAGTTGGAGGATTAACACTTATTTCAAAAGTTAGTACATAGATGCAGTAATCAAGACAATGTGGTATTGGTAGTAACATAGACATGCAGATAATTGGAATATGATTGAGAGTCCAGAAATAAACCTTTACCCTTAGGGTTAATTGATTTTTAAGAAGTGTGCTAAGACACTTCAATGGGTAGAAAGAATAGTCTTTCAACAGATAGTCCCGAGACAACTGGATATCCACATGCATCATAGTGAAGTTGAACCTCTTTTTTATACCATATGCAAAAATTAAATGCAAATGGGCCATGAACATAAATATAACAGCTAAAACTATAAAACTCTTAAATATTGGAGTAAATCTTCATTTCTTGGCTTAGGCAATGGTTTTTTAGATAGAACAAAAAATACAAGCAATAAAAGAAATAGATAAATTGGACTTAATTAAAATGAAAATCTGTGTGCTTCAAAAGACCACAAAAAATAAAAAGGCAACTGTGGAATGAAGAAAATATTTGCAAATCATGTATCTGATAAGCAGCTTAAATCCAGAATATATGAAAAACTCTTGCAATGCAATGATTTAAAGATAAATAACCTAATTTTAAAGTGGGAAAAGGATCTGAATGGATGTTTATTCAAAGAAGATATACAAACCATCAATAATCCCATGGAAAGATGCCGTTAAGAAAATGCAAATCAAAAGCACAATGAGATGTCAGCCATACACCACCAAGATGATTAAAAAAAAGACAGATAATAATCAGGGCTGACAAGAATGTGGAGAATTTGAGACTCTCATGCATTGCTGATAGGAATGTAATAGGGTACAGCTACTGCAGAAAACACTTTGGCAGTTTCTCAAAAGGTTAAACACAGAGCTACCCTGTAATCCAGCAATTCCACATTCATGCAAAAAGTAGCACATGTTTATAGCAGTATTATTCTTAATAGTAAAAAAAGTGGAAATAACCCAAATATCCATGAACTACTGCACAGGTAAATAAAGTGTTGTATAGCCATACAATGGAATATTACTCAGCAATGAAAAGTAATAAAGTATTGATGTATGCTATAACATGGATGAGCCTTGATAATATTAGGCTAAATGAAAGAAGGTAGTCATATACAAAGTGGAATGTTGCCTGATTCTGTTTATATGAAATGCCCAGAACAGGAGGATCTATAGATAAAGAGTAGATTAATATTTGCCAGCATCTGGGGGAAGAGGGAACTGGGTTTCATTTTGAGATGATAAAAATGTATTGATTGGAGTGATGGTTATAAAACTCTGCGAATATACTAAAAAACCATTGAATTGTACTCATAAAATGGGTAAACTGAATGGCATGTATATTTTATCTCAAAAAAAACCCTGTTTTAAGAAGCAGAAGAGGAAGTCAGAGAAAGGAAGTAGAAGAGAAAGAAAGAGAGATCTGGCAGAAGGATGACTTACAGAGAGTCCAAGAGTAGAAGGATTTGACAGCAGCCAGCCAGCAGGGACATGGGGACCACAGTCCGACAGTAGAAAGGAACTGGATTCTATGAAACAACCTAAAAGAATCTGGAAGCAAGTTCCTCCTCAGAGCCCCTGGAGGAGAATGCAACCCTGCCAGCATGTTGCTTTCAGTCTTGCGAGACCCAGAACAGGGGATCTAGTTGAGCCATGCTGTGCTCAGACTTCTGATTGCATCCACTGTGTGATAATAAATGGTCAAGCTGCCAAATCTGTGGGGATGTGTTATGGCAGCAATGGAAAACAAATGCAATTATTTGGGTCTTTACTGTTAAGGGTGGGGCTTCAAGAAGTGACACCACTCTCTGTATGTTGTCCTAAAATGTGACACTATCGCAGTAAAAGCAACTGCAAGGTGAAATTTTGTGCTAAAGCTGACACCATCATTTTTGAAATTCTAGTTCATTCAATCAGGTTTAGGTGTGAGAATTTAGGTAAAATGTATAGTTGAGAAAATTCTATGGGTTCATATCCCCCCAGCTGCCCCACTCTCCAAGTGAATTGGCCAAGACTATCATTTTTTTTTTTTTTTCATTTTTGGTCATTTTTCCATTCCTGAAATGGAGCCAGGAGACCAGGTTATAGACCATTGGTATTGCACAACATTTGAGGTGGAGTAAGTGTCATTGGACTTTGGACATTAAGACTTTGACTAAAGTCTTCACTTTGCTAGATTGGAGATATGCCTTTGCCTTGAAGCTTAGTTTTTTCATCTGTAAAATGGGATTTCTACATATTTGTACTGTTAATAAGAACAGTTGCCATAAAAGATGGTCTCAACGATTCCTCTCTAACCTTAGGTTTTGCTTTGGCTATTGTTATAGACTAAATGTTTCTCTACCCCCACCCCACCCCCTACTGCTCACACAAATTCGTGTGTTGAAGCCCTAACCGTCAGTGTGGCTGTATTTGAAGATGGTACCTCTAAAAACGTAATTCAGATTAAATAAGGTCATAAGGGTGGGGTTCTCATCTAAAAGGATTAGTGTTTTTATAAGAAGAGACAGCAGAGAGTTCTCTCTCTCTCTCTCTCTCTGTCTCTCTCTCTCTCTCTCTGTCTCTCTCTCTCTTTCTCTGGGTTTCTCCCTCTCTCTCCTCACTCGTGCCCAAATGCACACACTAAGGAAAGGCCATGTGAGCACACAGGGAGTCATTTGCATCACAAGGGGATAGTTCTCGCCAACCCTACTGGCACTTTGATCTTGGACTTCTGGTCTTCAGAGTCATGAGAAAATAAATCTCTGTTGTTTGAGCCATCCAGTTTATGGCATTTTGTTATGGCAACACTGGAAGACTAACACAGGCACTCACCAAAGGCTCTGGGTCTGAACACTAGACTGGCAGGAATGGACACCAATCCGTAACAGATGCACTCGCATGCAATGGTCATCATAGGAATTCTGGAATGTGCTCCTCCACATTAAAATCTGCAGCCGGCATGGTGTTATGTGTAAGCAGGGACACGACTCTTGATCTCGCATTCTTGGGAAGGTTACTTAAGCTTCCTGACTGATATGTTCAATCTGTAAATTGGAGATGACTAAACCCACCTTATCTCGTTGTTGTTAGTTGAGGAAATGTATCTCAACGCTCTACTTTGGCATCTATCCCACAGCAGGAACTCAGTACCTGTTGGATCTTTTTTCTCTAGTTGATGTGTGCTGAGTCATAGGTAGAGCCCAGTACCCAGGACAAAGCAAAGCAAAGTTGCTAGTATGTGAACTCCAGGAAGTTTCACTGTTGACACAGCAAAGGGAGAGACGGTGTCTCGGTTCTGGAACTGTACACCCAGTGAGCTCTGAGCTGGAGCTCAGGCAGGAGACTCCTTTGGGGATTTCACAGATGGGTATGTGTGCAAAGGTGCCATTTACATACTGTTAACGGCAATTACCAAGGCTCTCTAGGGCTTAGCTTCTTGGGGGAAAGTCTTGGACCTGCTGGAAGAACTGGGATGTGAGCCTCAACCCATTTTCCAACTTTCCACCCAATACCTTGCTAGACTTCATAGAGTCAGGACATGATAAGAATGCTGGGAAGAACAACCATCACTCCAGGTCAGAAGATACTTTTGCACCCATGAGTAAATATAAGTATTTTGGTGTACTTCTTTAGAGAGAGAGAGAAAGAGAGAGAAACAGATGTTTGTTTTAAATATAGAGTTATATCTATTTATCTATCAATGTATTATCTATTTTCTATCAATTTCAAGGATTTTTTTTTTTTTTTTTTTTTTTTTTTTTTT